GAGACTGACGGACTGCCTTCTAAGGTCGATGGGAGATAGGGTTGCCGGCTACCTTAAGCAGCGGCGGTAATGGTTGCTCACACGGGCCATCTTGTCTCCAGGGCCAAGCCCGAGGACCCTTCCCTGTTAGAGGATCCCAGGATCAAAGCGATCGCAGCCAAGCACAATAAAACCACAGCCCAGGTACTGTCATCTCCAGGCGCCCGTGGCCGTTCCCAGAACCCCCCGCATATGTAGTGGTCCCCTTTAACCGGGCAGTGGGGAGGCGACCAAGCCCAGCCGAGCCCTCCCTGGAAGTGCAGCTTGGGGTCCTGGAGTGGGTGGTGGAAAGGGCACCGACTGGAAGATAGAAGACAGCTGTGTGATGGGGACAGTGACCTCTCCAGGCCACCCCGAGGGTCCGCATTTGCTGATGTAGGTGGGAAGCTCGTCTCTGTGCTCAGGGAAGAGCACTTGTGACCAGCTGCCCGGGAGATGTTCTCTTTCTCCCGTGTGGCGCCACGGCTTCCTCCTTGTGACCAGTACCCGGGAGACACGGAAGCGCGTGGCGTGGCTGGGGGTGACCCTGACCCCTCTGGGCCTCTGTTTTCTCACGTGTGGAGTTCTGGAATTCCCTCGTGGGGAATGGATGTGCAAGACTAAGTGACATAACCATGTGGGTGATTGGTGTACATACTCGCTCGGCGCATCTGTCCCCAGGTTCTGATCCGGTTCCCCATACAGAGGAATCTGGTCGTGATCCCCAAGTCTGTGACACCCGAACGCATTGCCGAGAACTTCCAGGTAAGATCCTGGCTGGTCGGCCAGGTTTTGTTCAGTGGAGAAGGGGACAGGGTCTCTCTTCCCGTGCCTCAACTGTCACGTGTGAGACCCCCACCCACCCTCCTGTCACCTCTCAGTCAGGAAGCCAGCCTCGGCTGCAGTGAGCAGACCGTGCACTCGGGACTGTGGCTTCTCTTGGGTGGAGGCGCCATGCCGGGGTGGGCCTCGTGCCTCAGTGATGCCCTCTGTACATGCACCCACCTTTGCTGAGGCTCCTCGGTGACTCCGCATTTGTCCTGAGAAATGTGGCCCTTGAGCGACACCGCCTGGGCTTGAATTGGGGCTCCGGTACCTTGCCTCCGTTTCCTCATCTGTAAAGCGATACCTCTTTTGAGAATTGTCACGAAGATTAAATAAGATGCATCAGAGGGCTTCTCGTGGTGCGTGGTACCTGAGTGAGCGCTCCGGGAGCGCTGGTGAGTCTGGACTGCGGACACCCTGTAGGCCGTGAGCCCACCCACCACCCGTGCCAGGACCCCTTCCGGCAACAGGCAGAGCACAGGGCTCAGAGCACAGGGAGGTGTTCATGTGGGCCCTGAGAGCCCCTGCCAGGGCAGGTTAGATTGCTGCTTGCACCCAGGGGCAGGGGTCCCTGCGGGGGGGGAAGAGCTGCTCCGGGGGGGGCCTGATGCCCGTGAGCCTCTGCTCCCCCTGAGCAAAGCCGCTCTGCCAGGATCGCTCTGACCCCTCCGGTTCCCAGCAGCCGTTGCCACAGCAGGCTGCTCATTTTGTGTGCTGTGCGGCCGTGGGTTGTGAGGGCATGTGCCAGAGAGGCCTCGGGGGCGGGGGCGGGGGTGGGGGTGGGGGGCCCTTACTGCGCAGTAGGGGAGACAGTCGCCTTGTTAGGGCCACACGTTTTACCTGTTCGAGCTCAAGTGGTACAACCGTGACAGCTGTGAGAAACCTATCCTGCCAGAGATGGGTCCTTGGTTTCCTGTTTCGTTTGTCTTAAAGGTGGTAGGAAAAACATTTTTAAATGATTAATCTTGTAGTGCTAACACAGTTATTTTATTCTTGCCTTTTGCTCTGTAGTGTTTGCACATTTGCCCACAGTTGTGATCGCAGAGTGTGCGGCAGGCTTCTTTCCTGCACGTTCTGCAGTCATCTGACCCAGGGGCCTCCCTCGTGTCCCCGTGTGCAGCCGTCCCCTCACCCCCCACCCCCACCACCCCAGTTTCTTCTGGTGCTGCCTCGGGCCTGCCTGCTGGCACCGTGAGGGCCGAGGTCTTCCCAGGCAGGCTGTGCTCTTCAGGCAAGTGGTTCCCTCCTGACGACCTTTCTTGTCCTCTTTGGACGTTACTTGGCGGCTTCGGCCCATCTCAGATGCCATCTTCTTTGACCACATCCTTCGGCTCCCCGGCTGGAATTCATTCCTAGTTCCCCTGGATCCCCCGGGTGCTGTGTGTAGCATCTCACGCAGAGTGTGCGATTGATGATTCCTTGTGTTGGAGCTGTGGGATTACCCTTCGATTCACTGGAAACTGAGGCGGAGATACTTGTGACCCTTCATTTCCTTCCCCACTGGTGCTTGTCACAGAAGTGCTCAGCAGTGCCTTTGACATTAACTAAATGGACTGAAAAGTACCCTTTTGCTTAGAGGTTCCTGTTTTCCCGGTTGTGTGTGGCATCCAGACAGACCACGTGCGTTCTCCATAGTCCTACGGTCAAGTCTCTCCGAGATCTGTCTTCCTGTCTGCCCTTCCGCACTCAGGGCAGCATCCCGCCAGCGGCCCCGCACAGGGCTGTTCGGATACTTGGGTACTCTGTGTTTGGCCTTCATTTGCAGAATTTACTGGACTCTTTTTTTATTATTATTATTATTTCTTTTTAGGTCTTTGACTTTGAACTGAGCAGCGTGGATATGACCACCTTACTCAGCTACAACCGGAACTGGAGAGTCTGTGCCTTAGTGAGGTGAGTGGGTCCTGGGAGGGGATCTGATGCTACAGAATGAGAGAAGCTCCTGCAGGCCGTGCTGCCCAGGGCCTGTTAGCACAACCGTTCCGACCTGTGTACGTTGCCTTGCCTTCTCATCCACGTGCAGCAGCAAGCATTTCGTCCCGTGGGAGCCGCGGTGCACATAGCCACGGGGAAAATGCCCGGAGATCTGTTCTAGATATGTTCTCCCCTCCGCCGCAGGCAGCCACCACATATTTTAGCGTTAATTTTCAACTCTCAGTGGCTCATCTGAAGCCAGGTGATCCCATGTGGCTCCTGTCCACCCCCCTTCCTGGCAGACTTTGCGTGTGACCCTGTCTGACACCGACTTAATAAAAGGGGTTCCATAGGAAGACCGTGGTGCTTGGGGCCCTGACACCGATGAGCCACATGACTGAGAAAACCACTCGACGCCCTGACTGACAGGCACCCAGGGCCCCTCCGGCTACCCATTTGCTGGGTCCTTGTATTTCTGGCAATTGGTAGTTTGGAAGCTGAGGGAGGTGACTTTCCCTACAGTACAATGACTAAGTAAAGTTTGAAATTCATTCTCTGCTTTCCAGAAAAAAGCTTCCGTTTTACAGCGGGGACTCAGAGCTTCCTCTCTCATGGTTTTTATTGCCTGTTTCCCCTCCGTCTCCTCATGGTTACATTCTCTTCTGAGTGAGATCTGGACTCTCCCTGGGGTGGGGTGGGGTGCCAGCCTTCTCTCTCCAGCCTCTGCTGCCTCTGCAGTTTGGTTTGCACCGCAGATGTGGCGGCCCCCCCCCCCCCCCCCCCCCCCCGCCCCTGTAAGTGTCCACTGGGTCTGCGTCTGGGCCGAGATCTCCACTGTGCTTTAGGCAGGATGGTGCCTGGTGAGCGTGTGGCTGTCACACCCGTGGCCTCGCATTCCAAATAGGCCACCAACAGTTTTATCACTGGCAGCCCCACACCAGGCCCTTTCTGACAGCCCTGTTTGTGTTAATGGCACTTAACCTTTAAGCATTAGAATCCTTTTTTGGGTCGGGTAGGTGAGGGAGAGAGAAATGATTCATTGACCGGGTGACCTCTGTGCTCCTTGGAGGGACTCTGTGTCAGTTCCCTTGGCCCTTCCCACAGCCCACGACGGGTATTGGAGCTCTCGGGGCTGACAGACCACAGTGGTTTTCCAACTGGTCCCATTACACTCCCTCCACTCTCCGGTGCCATCGCAGAGAGAGCTGTCAGATTATTCCGGGGGCTACTGATGTTTAATGGGGATGGGTTGGGGCTGGAGTAGGGAGGGAGAGGCCGGTTCCAACATTCCTGGGTCACCTAGGAAGCTTTCTCACTCGACATACACATCCAGTGCCTTTCTGGAAATTCATGCTGTCCCGAGCTTCTATGGCTAATGGCAGGGTTAATGTTACTCGGGTTTGATGGGATGCCAAAAAAAAATGGAACGTGGAGGAGTTTTGAATGAGCAAGAGTTGTGTGCCCCAAGCTGGGTTCACACTGGGCCTTTCACACTGTGCCCAGCCTGTGTCTCCAGCGGTGGTGCCATTACGCTCCCAGCACAGGCCGTCGGCCCAACCAGGTGGGATAGTGAACCTGTTCAAACATGCCTGCAGCTCTGCGCTCCCAGGTGGATGCCTGGCCTGTTTCCTGCCCTGTGTTTCCCTGTGTCAAATCCTCCACTACTTTCCTCGGCTCCCTTCGGCTCCCACTGCTGGCGGGCAGCTTCTGGAGATGCCCGCGCCGTCTCGCTCTGTCACACATACGGACCCCTGGCTCCTCTCCTCACCCTCCTGCCGTTCCAGACGACGGGATACTGTCTGGTCCCGCCAGCTAGACTGAGTTCCCGGGATGCAGGAATCGTGTCTTGCTGCCCCGCAGGCCTCAGGCACAGTGCCGGCTGCCCAGGGAGCAGGGTGTCCATCGTGCCTGTGGCAGAGGAGTCGAGGGGGCCTTCCGCCCGGGTGCAGACCCGTGATCTGCGGTCTCGGAACTGGCGGTTGTCTCTGAGGCCTCTGCTTTCACCCCGAGGAGACACTCACCGTTTCTTTTTGTGATTTGCTACGGTCAGAGTCTCTCCCTTGAAAAGCTGACATGTTCCTCTTTGTCTCCTGACAGCTGTGCCTCCCACAAGGACTATCCCTTCACCGATGAGTTTTGAAGCCGTCGGTGCCTGTCCTCCTCCAGGTGGCCTGCTGCTTTGTTCCCCGTGTCACTTCTCCTGGATGTAGCGTAGTGTGGCCTGTGCCCATCAGTGGTGGGTCCACGACCTGGGGACGGGCCAGTGAGGGCTTGGCCCACGTGGTGTTGGGTCCAGAGAGTAGTATCCATAGATACTATCCATAGAAGTCTTTTCCAGGTCTCTTTGCCCTTCTTCTTCAGCTGGGGAAAGTAGGACCTTAGTACCCTTTTCTGGCTAAGTTGAATCTACAGAGTCTAAATAGTGCTACTAACAACCGGTTATTGGCTGCCGGGACTTCTTGCCTCAAATAAAAAGTACTTTTGTGAACTTGATGCTGTTTGTTTTATTTTGATTTATCGAAACGATACACCATCTTGTGTCTCACTCGGCCTTCGTCCCATCTATACCCATAAAGCAGGCCATTCAACTGGGCAACAGGAATGAGCCCCTGATGTCTTACCCTCTAGTTGGGGGCCCCTGGCCCCAGTACTTCACCCAATTAGCTTTAGGGTGGTTGGTCTCCTCTGTGTGCACGTTGGAGTCCCCTGGGAAGCCCTTAATGCTAGTGACGTCTGGACCTCACCCCCGGAGACCCGTCTGAGTGGCCCAGAGTGGAGCCAGGCCACAAAAAGTGTGCAGGCTCCCCAGGTGTTCCCACTGTGCAGCCAAGGCTGAGAGCCGCCGCTGTAGGGCTGAGCGGGGTGGTAAACCCATCTGTAATTTCACAGGTTACTTTGTTGTTCTGTTGCCCGTGAAGACCAAAGTCCTGTTTACAAGGAGCCCTGCTCACAAAGAACTGCTTTCATGAAGCTCACCGTCTAGACCAGAGGGAACACAGCATCAGTAAATGACGTCTGTATTCGGTCCAACTGCCATAATGGCATATTGTAGGCTGAGTGGTGTAAACAGAAATGTATTTCTCACCCATTCTGGAAGCTGGAAGTCTGAGGGCGGGGGCCGGCGGGGTCTGGTGAGAACCTTCCCCGGGTGGTGGGTCGCCACTTCTCCCTGTGTCTTCACCTGCCAGAGAAAGAAGAATGTTCTCAATAGGATCCCACAAGTACAGGTCCGTTTTTGTTTAACTTTTACAGATGCTGTTGCTTACGTTTATTAACGTTTTCTTTTCCAGAGTTAAATTGACAAAGGCTGGGAAAGGGATGGACGAGATAAGAGGCAACCTCGGATCTCATGACGATAATGGCTTTGTTGCCGACTCTCCGTGTTGGATGACTATAGCCCGTCTTGTTAGGTGACATTAACTGCTTCACAGACCATCCACATGGCAAATACACTCCCAAGGCTTTAGATAATTGGGCAGAGGTGGTGGCTGGGCCTCACCCAGGGAGGCAGGAAAGCACCGGAGCCCTGCATAGTAGCAGAGTTTGGGCCAGATGGGAGACCCAGAGCCCCACCTGCGCCCTGTTGCCCACAGCCTGCAGTGGTTCAGTTTCCCTTGCCAGGTAGGCAAATCCCACCTGATCCCAGGTTAAGCTGCAAACCTCCACAATCACCCTCTTAAGTCATCAAGATCAAGAACACACTATTCATTTTTTTGGAAGTTGAGTGAAATAGTCTCTGACCTAGTCCCCCCCCCCCCCCCGCTATTTCTCCAGTTAGCCCAGAGTCGGCTTTCACATGCTTTGGAAAAACTTTGAGGTACAATCACTAGTAAGCGTTTAAATCAGATGCCAGTGTGCTAGCTCCCTGCTTTAAGAACACTATCAAAAATTAGACCATTACAAAGTCAGCAAGAAACCAAAAAGATGAAAGGCCGTGCTCCAGCCTTGGTCCCTACTTTGTAGCAGAGACTCAGATTATATCTAAGAACACGTCCCCTGAGAAGGAGCCTTGCCTGGGGTGCAAGAGGGGAGGAAAACTAAAGCTTGATTGAAGAACTTGTTTTGCATTTTGGAGATAAGAAGGGGGCGTGTCCTGCGGTCAGTGGCCCTGGCGCGGGTGGAGGCCTGGCTCCCTGGTGCTAGAATGTGTCTCCAGGACGCAGTGGGCGAGGCGGGCCTTGGGGGGCCAGCTTCATTCCATAGCTAATGGACCCAGGGATGGAGCAATCAGACACCAGGGTCCTTGCAGAGACAGGTGCCGCCTTCCCAGTGCAGAGCCCCATCCCCCCTTCCCTTTGTGGAACTAAACCCCCACACCTTTGTACCTTCCTGGGTGGGTTCCAACCCAACCTCGACACTCAGGTGGACGCCTTGTCACGAATAAAGTGACTCTCCAGGGGGCCACGGCCGTGGGAATTCTAGAACAATCGTGCTGGTCCCCTCTTCGAGGACCTTTGGTAGGGCCTGCAAAGACATCCATAAAATAGTTGGACTTTTGCCAAAACAAAGTCCCAGCCAGAGAGAAGAATTGTTAATAAGATAATGAGACCCACTGAAAGACGGAACTAAATTTAATTGAATCACATAGGCGATTAAGACCCACACTTGAAAATCTCTCTGAACAATGCAGACTTAATTGCAAACAGCACAGTTGCTCAAGGGCCAATTTCACAGAGCACAGTTTCTCAACACTCCGTCCCGCTTCGTGTTGATACGATTGCTGAGCAAGCTATTTTGGTGAAATATCTCTGCTGCTGGCTGGCATAACCGTGGCAGGTGCCTAGCCTAGAGAGTACAGTGAGTGTTGGGTCCAGCCCCAGAAGGGTTCCTAGAGGGACAACAGGGACTATCTTTGGGGGTTTGTGGCTCTCTGGGGTCCAGCTCCAGGGTACACCCACTCTTTGTCCCTTGAAGGCATCGTCTAGCTGTGTTCCACAGAAGACCTGGGTCCTCAGGTCCTGAAGGAACCTCCCCTTCCGTCTCCCCTTCCCTCCCTGGAGTTTGGCTACAAGCAGTGGAAGCAGCTGATGGCTTCTCAGGTCCTCTTCCAGCCCAACGCCCAGCTAGGCCTGGGGGAACCCCAGCCTCTGTTTTCCTTTCCTTCCGTCCTCAGTGCCTAGAACAGCGCCTGGGCACAGAGTGGGTGCTCAGTGATTCCGTTTGCATGAACGAGGGAGCACAAGAATGAAAAGCTTTTCCTTTAACAGCTAGTTATTAAAACGTCCAAGTGTAGAATCGGTGCATTTCAGACCCAAAGAGGGCAGCTCAGTTTTGAATTGTGGCCTGAAATAACATGAAAGAGGCAGAGAGTTTTCCAGATGCAGACAGACAGGGTCTTCAGCGCAGCTCTTCTCTTCCTAAAACACGACTCTGGCAAATCGTTTAACCTTCTGGCCTCTGTTTCTCCCATCTATAAAATGGCCTGCTGGGGCGCCTGGGTGGCGCAGTCAGTTAAGCGTCCGACTTCAGCCAGGTCACGATCTCACGGTCTAGGAGTTCGAGCCCCGCGTCAGGCTCTGGGCTGATGGCTCGGAGCCTGGAGCCTGTTTCCGATTCTGTGTCTCCCTCTCTCTCTGCCCCTCCCCCGTTCATGCTCTGTCTCTCTCTGTCCCAAAAATAAATTAAAAAAACGTTGAAAAAATAAACATAAAAAAAAAATAAAATGGCCTGCCTCCTAGTAGCCACAGTGATTCAGTGAGATAGCCCCTATCCTGGACCTTGCCCACAGCACTCAAGTATATGCTTGCCATTACTGTTGACATTGTTTATTTATTTTGAGAGAGAGAGAAAGAGACAAAGTGTGGGAGGCACAGAGAGGGAGGGAGAGAGAGAATCCCAAGCAGGCTCTGCACTGTCAGCACAGAGCCCAACATGGGGCTCGAACTCACGAACCCTGAGATCATGACCTGAACCGAAATCAGGAGTTGGATGCTCAACCAACTGAGCCACCCAGGTGCCCAATTGATATCATGGTTATTATTATAACTAGATGTTGGCAAGAGAAGCAAACCCATCCTTTCCCTCATAGCTTGCAGATGGTGTCCGGGGGGATGGAGTTCTGCCCAGAGAGCAGCACTTTCTTCACGTCCTTGACTCTGACCACCTCACACAAAAGAAGGACAGCTTCTAATGCATTTAGCACACTGTGGCCTTTTGTTTCCAACCTCAAGGACAGTGCTTCCTATCAAGAAAAACAAGCCTTGAAGAAAACACTGCCAATTCGTAAGAAGTGTTTTGTTTTGTTTTGTTTTGTTTTGTACTGATGGATGAAATCATTGAGTGTTGGAGATCATCTAATCCAGTGTTTTCCAACTTATTTTTGGCTGCAGTCTTCTTTCTTTGAAAGAGTCTGACATGGATCCTCAATACATAAACCGGATTAAGGCAGAGCTGCTGTGGTGTAAGTGGGGGAGGAGTCTTGGAACTAAGACAGACAGTACCCTCACACAGAGTCCCCTAACCGTGAGAGCCTGGTCAGAATTTCAAAGCCTTGGGATCCAACCCTTTCTTGTTCGTTTTTAAGAGCTGTAAAGATCTCTTTCACACAGTTGTTGGAATTCAGGAATTCCAGAGTGGCTTAGCTGGGTGGTTCTGGATGGGGGTCTCTTAAGAGGCGGCTGGGATTGCATCATGGAAGGTATGACTGGGGCTGGAGGATCTGATTCCAAGGGGGTGCACTCAATCACTGGCAAGCCAGTACTTGCTATTGCCAGGAGGCTTCAGTTCCTTACCTCACGTACCTCTCCACAAGGCTGCTGGAGTGCTCATGACATGGTGGCTGACGCTCCCTGATGAGTGATCCAAGAGATCACAAAGTAGAAGCCATAATGTCTTTCATTATTTAACCTCAGAAGTCACATACCACCATTTCCACAAAAGACCATCCCCATCCACTGGGTACAGCTTGGAAGCTGGCTACCACAATTTGTAAACCTAGAACTGTGTATTGTTTAGAAAGCATTTCAGAAGTAATTACAAACATGCAAATAAATAATATTTCAAAAGAATGTATGTTCTGATTGTCATGCCCAGCGAAGCAACCCTTTGGTTTTACAACAACAGAAAACCCAGAGGATCAGAGAGGTCAAGCGACCAGCCAAAACTCATAGAGCAATTTAGTGACAGAAATGGACCTAGAATCCAGGTGTCTGCATTCTAGTCTATTGCATTCATCATGGTATTATTACAATAACATTCCATTATAATAAAAGTTACAGTAACTTGCATGCATGTGCAACCTTATCACCGGGGGATCAAGGTTAACATCAACAGTGATAAGTCATGTTGATAATAGGTGCTCTTGACATGATGTGATGATAAAGGTCCTTTACTTCCATGATCTTCCTCCCCCAAACCCATAACCCCAGTCTAATCAGGAGAAAATAGGAGACAAATTGTATTTGAGGGACATTTTACAAAATATCTGACCAATACCAACACCCCTCAAAATTGTGAAGATCATCAAAAACATGAAAGGTCTGAGAAGCTGTCACAACCAAGAGGAGTCTAAGAAGACATGGTGACTAACTGCATAAGATCCTGGGACAGGAAAAAGGACATTTAGGTAAAAACTAAGGAAATCGGAATAAAGTCTGGATTTCAACTAATAATAATTTTTTAATATTGGTTCACTAATGATGCCAAATGTAGCGTACTAATGTAGCATGTTAACAATGGGAAACTAGGTGTGGAGTATATGGGAAGCCTGTACTATCTTTGAAATTTTTCTGTAAATTTAAAACTAGTCAAAAATAAAATGTTCATTAAGAAAAACTTTATAGAATACTCATGAAGAGCTGCTTTTCTAAACAAAATATAACAAGCCTAGATTACTCACTTGCTTTAAAAATGCTCATACCTCTCCTTGATTAAACAAACAAAATAACTAACAAGGGTGATTTGAATAGCCTGATTACCAATCCTGTTCTTGGAGAACACATATTTCCAAGCACATGTGGGACATTATGAAAATCAGTGATAAGCTAGACGAAAGTGCTGGCCTCAACGAATTTCAACAAATTGATATCATATAGATCATATTGTCTGATCACAATTTAATAAAAATATAAAATGTTAGCAGAAAAAGATTAAGAACTGTCCACCCCCCCCCTTCACATTCAGAAATTTTAAAACACACAATCAACTCAAGGGTTAAAGGAGTAAAATAACGGCCGCTATATATGGCATTTGCTAATTAATTATGTCCCATGTAATGTTTTATGAGTTTTATATATCTTTTAATCCTCAAAACAACCCTTCAAGGTTGGTCCTGTTATCATCCATTTTCAGATGAAGAAACCAGGAACGCGTAGAAGGTGAACAACGTGGTCAAGGTCAGATAGCCGGAAAAGGGTGGCGCTGGGTCTGCATGTTGGCAGTCTGGTTCCAGAGTCTGTATTCTGGGTCTGTTAGGCTGCCTCCTGCTAGAGTAGAAAACACATGTGGAATAAAATAAAATATAAGACATATCAAAATCTGGGGACGCAGCTAAAGCAATCCTTAGGAGTCTGATAATTTATGGAGTCTTATAAGCACAGAATAAGTAGAATAACTAGTTAAAAATAATGTCCACAAAGAAAGATAAAGATGGCTTTATAGAAGTGCTGTTATGGGGGCACCTGGGTGGCGCAGTCGGTTAAGCGTCCGACTTCAGCCAGGTCACGATCTCGCAGTCCGTGAGTTCGAGCCCCGCGTCGGGCTCTGGGCTGGTGGCTCGGAGCCTGGAGCCTGTTTCCGATTCTGTGTCTCCCTCTCTCTCTGCCCCTCCCCCGTTCATGCTCTGTCTCTCTCTGTCCCAAAAATAAATAAAAAAACGTTGAAAAAAAAAAAAAAGAAGTGCTGTTATGTAAAGTAACATTCTAGGTACAGACAATGCCAGTCCTACCCAAGCTGTTTCAGAAGGTAGAACAAGAGGGCATATTTTCAAAATCACGTTATACAGCCAGCACAATTCGATACTCAAAATACTAGGACAGTTCAAGAGGAAAATCATAGGCTAATCCCACTGAAGAACGTGTATGTAAACATCCGAAACAGAATATACTTGGTCACATCCAATAATGTATAAATGATCGATGCAATTTTAATCACAGGAATGCAATGTTGATTTTATATCAGAAAGGCATCGACATAATTCACCACATTGCTAAAATAAAGGTTTATGTATGTATCCAAACAAAAAATGTTCGATACATTAAAATCATTTTATGAGAAAATATTTTGGCAGACTCAGGATGGGAGAAAAATCTCTTTAACGTGGCCAAGGGCATCTCCACAGCCATCTCATATACCTACCATGGCATATTCTCATGGTGTACCAACTACCACCGTAGTCGACCACATGAACAATTCTCAACAGGAGAGCACTGAGGCAAGAAAAGGTCACAGAGAAAGACATAAGTAAGATTCTACTAATACAAAGTTCAAAAATAGGCAAAACTGAACAGTACATTTTTGTAAGGATATAATCCCAGGTCATAAAACTGTAACAAAGAGCAAGGAGTAATTTGTTCAAGATTCAAGAGTGGGAGTTGACAATAGCAAAAAAAAAAAAAAAAAAAAAATTTCATCTAAAAAGTGGGAGGAGGACTTGAGTAGACATTTTCCCAAAGACATACAAATGGCCAACAACGCTCAACATCACTAATCATTAGGGAGATAGATGCACATCAAAATCACAGGGAGGTATCACCTCAGACCTGTTGGAATGGTCACTATAAAAAAGACAAGAAGTAACGTGCTGGTGAGGGTGTGGAGGACAGGGAACCCTTGTGCCTTGTTGGTGAGGCTGTAAATTGGTGCAGCCATTATGGAAAACAGGATAAAGATTCCTCCAGAATCAAAAAACAGAACTACCACATGACCTAGCAATCCTACTTCTGGGTACATATCTAAAGGAAACGAAATCAGTATCTCGAAGAGATATGTGCACCCCCCGCATTCATCGCAGCATTATTCACAAGAGCCAAGACATGGAACAAGTTGGGTGTTCATTAACGCATAAGTGGATAAAGAAGATGTGGTGTATATATAACGGAGTGTTATTCAGCCACGAGAAAAGAAAATCCTGCCACTTACAACAACTTGGATGGACCGTAAGTCATTTTGCTAAGGAAGGTAAGTCAGAGGAAGACAAAAAGTATATAATCTCACCTCTATGTGGCATCTGACAACATGGAACTCATAGACCCAGACGTGCAAGTGGTGGTTGCCAGGGGCTAGGGTGTGGGGGCGATGGGGAGATGTGTTCTAAGGACACAAACTTCCAGTTATAAGATGAATGAGTTCCGGGCATCCCATGTACAGGATGGTGACTGTAAACAATACTGTATTGTGTTCTTGGAAGTTTCTGTGAGAATAGGGCTTGAATGTTCTCACCATAACAACAACAGAATGGTAATTATGAGTTAACTAATCTTATTGTGGCAAACATTTCCCAATATATGTGTGTATCAAATCATCACATTGTACACCTTTAACTTACACAATGCTATGTGTCAATGATATCTCAGTAAGTTGGAAAACAAAGACAGACCTGGGAAAATGCAGACTGAAATTACCACACACACACACACACACACACACACGAGGTGGAGGTCAGATGAGGTTTGATATCAGGAAGGGACATGAAGGGACTTCTATGTTACTACTTATTTCTTAAACTGGGTTCTGGGAATATGTGTGTGTGTTTTATTTCATTTCATTTTATTTTTATTTATTCTGAGAGAGAGAGCTTGTGAGAGAGAGGCAGAGAGAGAATTCCAAGCAGGCTCCACACTGTCAGCACAGAGCCCGACGCGGGGCTTGAACCCACGAACCGTGAGATCATGACCTGAGCTGAAACCAAGACTTGGATGCTTAACTGACTAAGCCATCCAGGCACCCCACGTTTTATTTTAGTCCTTTAAAGGAGATCCAGAGATTTTACACAGTTTTTTGTGTATGAATATTTCATAAGAAAACATAAGTGTTCAAAATAATGAATTATCCCATTTGATCCTTAGAACAATCCGGTGAGACTCCTGTATCATGATTCTTCACAGAAAACGAACTTAAATCCAGAGTAGTTCATTGATATGCCAAATATCTTATAGCAGGTCAGCGGTTTCCTCTCCTTATTCTGTGACCTTTCTACTGAATCACACTGAAACTGATTTTTGTGACTATTTCTGCTGCTATCTTAACTCTAGACACAGAAAATTGGGAGTAACCAACTGCATGTTATTGAGCAAAATAAGAGACAGGTTTGTTTGTTTAAAAATAGAATTGTCTTTGGGGCGCCTGGGTGGCGCAGTCGGTTAAGCGTCCGACTTCAGCCAGGTCACGATCTCGCGGTCTGTGAGTTCGAGCCCCGCGTCGGGCTCTGGGCTGATGGCTCAGAGCCTGGAGCCTGTTTCCGATTCTGTGTCTCCCTCTCTCTCTGCCCCTCCCCCGTTCATGCTCTGTCTCTCTCTGTCCCAAAAATAAATAAATGTTGAAAAAAAAATTAAAAAAAAAATAGAATTGTCTTTAAACAGATGAACATAAGGGAAGGGAAACAAAAATAATATAAAAACAGGGAGGGAGACAAAACAGAAGAGACTCATAAATATGGAGAACAAACTGAGGGTTATGGGAGGGGTTGCGGGAGGGGAGATGGGCTCAATGGGGAAGGGACACTAAGGAATCTATTCCTGAAATCATTGTTGCACTATGTGCTAACTAATTTGGATGTAAATTAAAAATAAATAAATAAATAAAATTAAGTAGTTAAAAAAAATAGAATTGTCTTTTAAAAATCTATGTTCTCGGGGCACCTAGTGGCTCAGTCAGTTGAGTCACTCTTGGTTTGGGCTCAGGTCATGATCCCAGGGTTGTGGGGTCGAGACCCTTGTCGGGCTCCGTGTTGAGCAGTCCCTCTCTCCACTTCGTGCACTCTCTCTCTCTAAAATAATAATAATAATAATAATAATAATAAATCTATGTTCTCTCCCACTGTTCTTGATTTGCTATGCTGTGTAGATAAGATACTCGCTCACTAGTGAGAAGCAAGGTACATGCTGAGTTGCAAGCCAGGAATAGTGACGGTTGGCATCAGGAAGTGAGAGAGGTGGTCATCCTTGAGACAGCAGATTTGGGAAGAGAAATATCAGTGCCTTTTCCGTACATGTTAGATAACCGGTACCTGGGAAGGAAAGGTCAGCCTGTGGACCCAGAACAGAAGTCAGGTATGTTTTTGTGAAATTGGAGGACAGGGTCAAAGGGCCCAGAAAAGGGGCCACTGACCATAGGGTACCTCCACATGGTTCAGTATAGCAGGGAGGCCACGAGGACCCAGCGTGGGACCAAGCCCAGAGCAGAATGGCTGTAGACACATTCCTGTTGCATTCTTTCCACGGGAACCTGCAGCAGAGGCTCTCAGCCTGGACCTGGGCCCCGAGAGAATTGTGTGGGCTTCCCTCCCAGTCGCCATAAATTAGCCGACTTGGACAAGAACAGGTACTCTGGCAAGGCTCTCCGAGGTCATTGGTTTCAGCTTTCACTGTGCGTGAGGGGCCAAGTGACTCCAAGAGCAGCCAACCAAGTGGTGAAAACAGCCAGGATCAGAACTTAGGTCTTAGGATGTTTATCCAGTGCTTCCTTTTCTATAGGTCACCTACACTGTTGTCTTGTTAGTCTGGGCACACCATTTCGGAACCCCCAAACTGCTCAATTGTGGTCTCATCTGCCCTAGAGATTGGACTGGTTCGTCATCCACTGGGAAGCCAAGGACTTCAAACTGCCCTTCTGAGGCAGCCTGGGTTCACTGGTCAGGGCTGGGGGTCAAGAAGGGGTAGTAGAGGTGTCCTGTCTCCCTCCCCTCTGCCTCTACCAGAGCGAATTCCTTTTTTATCCGCTTTGTTTGTTGGAATTGTGTGTAAGATTTCATTCGTGAAGAAAGAGTTGCCCCAAAATTAAACGCATTCGGGGGCCAATGGGCGGCTCAGTCGTGAAGCGTCCAACTTCGGCTCAGGTCACGATCTCACGGTCCGTGGGTTCGAGCCCCATGTCGGGTTCTGTGCTGACAGCTCAGAGCCTGGAGAGAGGCTCCCTCTCTCTCTCTGCCCCTCCCCCTCTCACACTCTTGTCTCTATCAAAAACAAACAAATAAATAAATGTTTAAAAAAAAATCATTCAATGGGGAATCAAGTTGGATCTCCTGGGGCTCTCTCTGTTCTTTTCCCAGGTTTTGATACAGTTCAGTAAGTATTCTTGGACACCTCGTGTCACATTCAGTTCCATGG